GGAGCTGGGGCGGGGATCGGCGCCAGCCACAGGGAACACCCAGGCCTTGGGCTCAAACCCATGGGGCCCCCAAGACCTGATCCCTCCGCAGGGGCAGCACGAGGGGGCCAGGGAGAAGCAGAGAGACCAGAGAGAGAACAGGGAAAAGAAGGAGACAGAGGCAGAGGCGGAGGAGACAGAATGGCACTCACCCACTCCTGAGAGGGAGTCAGTCCCAAGCCCCACCCAGGAGGAGGTGCCCAGATGAGCATGAACCTGGCAGGCCCGGGTTCTGCTCTGGGCACAACAGGGGGCAAAGGCCATGGATGGGACGGGCCGGAGGTCATGGCGGCGACAGAGGCGGCCTCAGTCCCAGGAGACCTTGACGGGCGAGAACTTCCAGAGGTCGGGCTGGCCCATGTGCAGCAGGCCACTGAAGGGCGAGGTGCTCCACTGGAAAGGGGGCACCTGGTCCCACGTGGGGCCACTGACTGCCACCAGGCGCAAGGCCTTGGCCAGGGCCATGCTGGTCACCTGGGGGCGGGGCAGAGCAGATGGCTGAGTGTCGGCCTGGCTGGGCTCCAAGCCAACCCAACCCAGGGGCCCCAGCACCCACCCGAGCCTGGACCACCCCCAGCCCGATTCTGACCCTGACTCCGCCCTGCCATCTGCGTTGGCCCAGCCTGCACCCCACCCCCTCCCCAGCCATCAGGGTGACTGGGCCCACCCACAGCCCCGGGCCCTGGCGGACCTTGGCATCGATGCCCCCGTGGGAGCGCTGCTGCAGCGCCTGGAACGGGTAGGAGCCGTTGGCCGGGTTGAGGTCGGAGCGTGCCGAGATGGCGTTCTCCCCATTGGGCTGCGGCCTGCAGGCCTTGCACAGTGACAGGGGGTCGTGCAGGAAGTCATTGTACCTGGATGTGGGACGGGAGGGACCGGTCATTCTGGGAAGGGGTGGGGAGGTGAGGACCAAACTCCTCCAGGCAGCAGCCCCAGAACACAGTCCCTGATTTCAGCGAACCAGCCCTCCCGCTGCTGGGGTCCCCCCCTCCACCTCATCACCCC